AGTTCTCAGCCTGTGGGCTCCGGGCCAGCAGCATCTCTATCACCAAAGAGCCTGTTAGAAACGCAGATGGGGGCCCACATCAGACCTCCCGAGCCAGAGCCCGGGAAGGCGGGCGGGCGGCCTGGGCCCTAACCGGGTGCTCAGCTGACGGCGCCCAGCTCGGCAGGCGCGAGGACCACGCTCTCAGGTGAGGGCGAAGCACCTGTGCCCCCCACGCCCAGCTCATTCACAGGCGCAGGGGGTCTGGGACTCCCTCGGCCTTTCTAGACTCTTCTTCCACATGTCAGAATGCGACAGACAGCGTTTCCACGAGCAACTTCCCAACAGACTCTAACCAACCTCGCGCCCTGATGCCCGACACGTTTTTACCACAGCCGCCCTGCCTGCCGAGGAGAAAGGAACAGGCCGTCCGACGGGACCTGAAGACACCTGACTCCTCCCTGGTCCTGACCCTGAGCTACGTCCCCGTTGGAAGGAAAATGCCACGCTTTCTGCTTCGAACAGCATTTTCCTATAGTCAAGGCTGGGCGGCCCCGACAAAATGTACCAAACAACAGCTCGCACGGATGTTCTTCCTCCTGACAAGATGGGAAGATTTCTACTGAAAATCGACGTGGCTGCCCCGCAGCTCCGCCTCCCTGATCTTTGCTGTTCTAAATGGGGGCATCGCCTAATAGTGGTACCTGTGACAGCAGACGGCTATCTGTAGCCCTGACCTGGCCCTCTCACCGTTGTCCCGGCCCCGGAGCCCACCCAGGTTTCCCCTCCCTCGTCGCAGACGGGGAAGCTCTGGCCCGGGGGTCACGACAGCCCCTGGCCTGCTGGAAGCTGAGCGACCCAACATAACCTGGCGTGCCCAGAAACCTGTTCCCCAGCAGGACGAAGGGGCCCACCCCAAAGGGACACCCGGACCTTCGGCTCTCGGGTCGGCCCTTCACGCAATTGTCTGACTTTGGCAAACTCAGCCGAGTTCCGACGGACAGAGAGCGGCTGTTGAGGTGGTTTCCGCAATGTCTACGGAAGCAAGAGGCTTGCTCAGCACCTCCCTCCACGCTGACCCCGTCACCCCGGCCACACTCAGGACAGAACTGAGTCCCCAGAGGCTCCGGAGGGAGCACGGCTGCTGAGCCGAAGGTGAGCACAGGTTGGGGACCCAGCAGTGAGCGGCCCCAGCACCCAGGGGAGCGGCGCCCGGGGCCCGTCGCATCTCCAAGGGTCTGGTCCCATCAAGGAGGTCGCTGGCCTCGGGGGGCCCAGCGTGGAGGCCTCAGCGAGAACGTGTGGGAGGAGCCTGAGGACCCCCAGGCTCTCCTTACACAGCGGCCGAGGGCAGACGGCCCACAGCCCGGGTGCGTTCACATCTCAGATTGTCCCTCGGGGTCAACGTTTCCATCTCGAAAGGAGAAAATATCGAAATACAGTATAAATCAGGGGCGGGGGCGGGAGAGATTCACCGGGAACCGCCCGCACGTGTGCATAACCCACAGGCACAGACAATGGTGTGGGGGAGGCCTGGGGGTGTCAGTGGGGGAAAGGGGGCATTTGTAATAGTTCAACAATAAAGATAATTTTTTAAAAAACATAGTATAAATTAGAATCAGATAAAACCACCATCCTGTAATTTTTTTCTTTCCAAGACAGCAAGTCGCCATCAGCAGGCCGGGCCGCCTACTCCTACTCTATGTAGTTTTACTTAAACAAACACATCATTAAATATACAAATCACTAACATCTACTTGACAAATAAGCTAATAAGCAACACTTTGCTAACGGCCAAGAGCAATAGAAGCCGCTCACAAATTTAAAACCCGGGAGGTATTCTCAACCGGGGGTAGAGCAAAATTTACAAATTTTAGATGTTTCCAGAGGAGGCGGACGCACTGATGTATCCGCCCAGTGTACAGGACTGTGGCTTATGTGCAGGAGCTTAGTAAATCCTGCTGGGCGAGAGCGTGAGGGGGCTCGCGGCCCCGCGGTCCGGCTGAGCTGCCCCCAGGCCGCCTCTCAGAGCCTGGGGAGGGAGCCCGGGCTCAGAGACATCAGCCGGTCCCGCTCGGAAGCAGCCCCGCCTTGGGGTTCGGTGAACGCATCGGAATGATCTCCGCCTCATCTCCAAGCAGCTGAGATACGAGCGAACGAAACCGTCTGTGAGATCACAGTTTCAATCACCGGGGAGGCACCCGAAGCCTCGGCCCGGCTCGCGCAGCTCGCCCGCCGGCTCCCCTTCGGCTCCCACTCGCCCCGCTGAGGCCACACCGGAATTTTCCTGAGGGGAGCAGCAGAGGGAGGAGGCCAGGTGGGAGCGAGTTACCCCTGAAGCACAAAGGGAAGCAGGGGCAAGAAAATGTTGCTTTACCCCCAATGTGCGCAGTGCAAGTGTGTTAACAGCAGAAATATTTACCTAAATTGTGCAGAAAGTGGCCTCCATCCAACATTTCTGAGCACACGCGAGGTCAGAAGGGCAGACAGAGAGTCTCTGTAAGGTTTCTCCTGGGAGCAGAGACCACGAGAGCCTCCCACCCGGCCCTGTATTCATCGGTAGGAAACTGAAACTGGCTCATTCATAGAAACAGCGAGCACTTGACTATCCCAGAGCCCGTCTCCCTGCGTGGATGCAAAGCGCCCAGAAAAGTCACCGCAGCCTTTGGCACGAGGCAGACAGATCTCAGGAGAAGCATCAGTTTCACGTGAAGTTCCCTGAAAAATCAGGTTTGCAAGCAACCGACGTCAGAGTCACACGGGGTGTTTCTGCTGGAAGGAGACGCGTGTTGGGCGCCTTCTGTCCTGCCTGAGGAGGACGGGTGCTCCTGAGCCGGTCACGGTCATTACGCTGGGTGCCAGGACGGCAGCCCCGGGAAACGCAGGCCCTGCGCCCACGCTCCTGGGAGCGGAGCCTGCGGCCGGCTCCGCCGGACACCGCGTCCAGGAAACGCAGGTGTGGATCTTTGCAGGGCGTCGGTTAGCATCAGGATCAAAATTGGCTGTAGACGTAAACGACCTACCCTGTGAACCAGAGGCATGGCCTAAACCGAGGGCGGCCAGGAAGGGTGTCCTGACAGAGAGACTTGCATTTGCACTCAGCACATTGGGGGGTCGTGGGCCTGTAATCACTCCAGCGCCAAGCCTTGTGTTTCTGTCACATCCGTGGCGCCCAGGAGGGGCCGCAGGCACGGCGCGGTCAATGTCTTAGAAAAAGCAGCTTTTAAAAATACTGCCCGTGTGCGGGTGGGAATCAGAAGAGGAAACGGGGACAGCCACAGTGCGGGAAGCTATTGTCACCCACGCAGGTCCCAAGGCGCCAGGAGCGCGTGTGCAGCGAGCCGAGCTCACACCTGCATTCGCAACATCAAGTTCCGCGAGCACCTGAGGGATCATCGTCAGGATACAATGTTTCTGCAGCTGTGTTTGAATAAAGTGCAACAAGGTTTCCACCCAAGGACCTATGCTGTTCTTTAAAATGCTCACATACACACACACACACACACACACACGGCTTCTCTCCCCGGCCGTGAAACGTGAACAGCTCCGGAGCCCCATCCCCTCCGAGGATTTTCTCCCGGTTGGTCCAGACACCCCAAACGTAAACACTGAGGAATATAACTCGCGAAAATAAATTGTGAGCTAGAGAAGTCAACATGCAAACACTTACACTGAGCCGTTTTTGCCCTAAAATTTGATGTTTTGCACGGAGTCCTGATTTGACACGGCCGTACCTCACACAAAATCCTTTTTTTAAATCTTCGTGCTTTTGTCTCCTCCTAAAGCATATCAAAGTCTTGCATTCAGAAAATTATCTTCTAACATAGGACAATTCGGTCTTTTCATACCATCATCTCATTGTAAACATGAACAAATATGACAGTCATGAAAACTACATCTGAAACTCAAGAGGTGGTGATTTTAACCCCAAATTAATGTTTCCAGAGGGAGTAACATTGGGGGTCAATGAGCAGTAGGCATCATTACAATGTAATAAAAAAGCATTTGTTTCTCCGGGATGGGCTGTCCCTCCGAAGACCTGTTCACAGGACGTTTTCTTCCAACGTTGTCTGAGCCGAGTGCTCAGTACCCGTCCTCATGGGGCCTGACCACCGCCCCTGGGACTCACTGAGTTCTGATGGGTCTTCGGCCCCTAGAAATTATTATCTAAACACCATGCTCACTGGCTTTTCTTTAACTCTCTCTTTTTAATTGGTCCCATTCAAGGCATAGCTAAGGCCGTGGCCAGGTGCATAATTTTAATGCCCAGCGTCACTGTCAGAAACTCACCCACAGCCTCCGCTGTTAGAATAGTTGTACTTGGCACTTTCCCCTGACTTCTTTTTTTCAGTCACATCTACAGAGGCCAAGTTCACAGGATAGTTTCACGAGACAGCGCCAACGGCTCACACCCTGGAGCAGCTGCCGCGACACCCTGCCGACCCCCCGAGACTGACCCCAAAGACCCTGTGGTCCCAGGTGGACACGGGAGACCCTCCGAACCCCATACGCTGGTCAGTCGGCAGCAAAGGTGGCCTGGGCCGGTGACACTGGGCAGAGTCTGAATGTTTTCACTGTGCTGTGACCGTAGCTCATCACATCGCCCCTTTTCCCAAAACTGAAGAACTGAAGCATCCGTGTCTTTATCTAAATAAAGCCGCTTCAAGGTGCGAGTCATAAACACTCCCGATCTCAGGCATAGGTCCTAGTTCCTTACCCCATAAGGAACCGAACGCGTCTCTGGAATTCTGTTAAACGCTCATTTCTCAAGAGCTATAAAACAATGCAGCATTCTCTTCTCTGGAAATAGAATTTAAAAATAAAATAAAATCTGGGAACCCTTTTCACTAGACCTAGGGATTTCCTAAGCGGATCGAAGTCCATTTAAACCACAAGTGGAATTTAAAGAAGACAGTATGACCTGTTGTTCAGGTGACGGGTGCAGCCTTGCCGAGCCCCCGTGTCTTCTCGTGGCTGGGCCACGCACACGCAACCACGACGCGGGGACCCAGTGTCGCTCTTCACACGTGGGTGCAGTTGGTGGAGGGCGGGGTGTCGGCGCGGCTCCTGGTCTCCCTGGCGTCGCTGAGGGGGGACCCGCCCCGCGCGCGGCAGGTGAACACCTGGCGGTAGGCCTTCCGGAAGTTCTCGGACAGGAAGGCGTAGATGATCGGGTTCACCGAGGAGTTGCTGTAGGCCAGGCAGTGCGCCGTGACGCGGAACAGGAAGGAAGCGGGCGTCAGCGGGAAGACCCCGAACTCGGCCCACAGGTGGATGACATGGTGCGGCAGCCAGGAGATCCCGAAGACCACGACCACCACCAGCACCGTCTGCGCCGTCTGCGAGGGATGGGGGGAGGCACGTCAGTCCCGACAGGAAGGAATCCAGCATCGCAGACACATCCTAAGCTAATCTCACGGCTGTCAGACCTAAAGCGTGACTTAAACCCCCGCACCTGGACTTCTCATCTGGGCCCCGGGATCCCCTGATGCCAGGTGTTCACAGGTGGCAGGATTAGATGTTACAGCCTCTTACTGCGGGAGGCACAGAGCAAACAGGAGGTCGGCTCAGGTGCATCAGGGGACCGGCTGCTCTCCACCCCTCTTTCCGGGTGCAGGAGACACTGGTCCCCAGGTCACTGAGTCACACCACTTAGAGGTCCTTCTGCCTGCACATGGAAAACATCACCGTCCTTCCTAAGACAGCGAGAGCATCTCCACTTCACAGAACAAATGCCCTCTGGATGCCCTCTCCGGGCTTCTGTTAGGGAGCGTCTGCCAAGCGGAGCTGAGGCAGGAGGAGACCAGCAGCTCAGCAGCTCAGGATCGGCTCCTAGGGCTCCAGGACCACGGGGAAGTGCAGTGTGTGCCCCGCATATGGGACGTGGCCCGGGGAGCGTCTGTCCCTGCGCCTGTGGGTCATTCAAATGTACCTTTTTATTATTTGTAATCCCTGCTCTTTTCAGAACCATGAACAAGACAGTTTTTCTCGGTCTACCTAGTAGCCTTCAAATGCACCTGGGTTACAATTTGCAACATAGTATCAGGAAAGAACACTCAGTGGGCACTTACATAGACCGAGTCATTTATCCAAGACTGTTCCTGGAGTGTTAGCTAGGATGCTCCCCGCTAAGGTCCACAGGCCTCGCTCTGTCCCCATTTCACAAGCATCTCAGCCCATCAGAGCTGAGGTTCTGTCGGCCCAGCGACAGATAGCGTCCTGCACCCAGCCCTGCACACAGCCCTGCACACAGCCCTGCACCCAGCCCTGCACCCGGCCCTGCAGTTCCCAGGGGACTCCAGGTCAGCCCAGCGATGTCAACTCTGACAAAGGCCTCCGTGTGCACCGCTGGACACAGCACATGCTTTTCTCCTCCTGACTCCCTTGCGCAGAGGCTCCTAGGCCTCCAGGCCCAGGGACTGAGAAGCTGAGGGGCGGGTGCAGAGAAGAAGCCCCCACAGGTGGGCAGAACACCATCCTCCACGCACTGCTGCTTCCCACAAGGGCTGGACACTGAAGATCCGGTCAGAACACTGCTGTGCAAACCCCAAAGCTGGGGCGGAGGAAGAAGGGGTGCTGGTCCCACCCAGGGCACAGCTCCCGCAGATGTCAGGCACCCGAGCCTCGTCCCCAGGGCTCCGCTCAGGAAGTTTCTAAATGGCTCAGGTGTTTGAAGAGCCACTGATAAAACCACAGCAAAAGCACGTTGTCTTGCCCACTTCAAGTTAAAGACGAGGGGGTTTCTTCAATGTTCACCACCCCAATTCTACCCCCCCCATTCTCCTGATTCTCCCCGGAAAGACTTGGAAAAGTGGCCTCCCCCCTCCCCTGCTGAAACGCCAGGATGTGGGGAAGGAACACCTCTCTGCGAGAAGGCGGAGAGTCTCTTAAAATTTCTTATGGGACTTTCCTCATTTCTGGCAGGAGCACCGGCCTCCCTCAGAGCCGGAGTCCAGCCCCGGCCCCAGCCCTGAGCTCAGTGTCCACGTGGAGCCGCTGCAGGCGCCCCGAGCCCGGCACTGACCCCACCCGTGCCCGGGCCTCGCTAGCCTGGCTGCTTTTTGCTCCTCAGGCTGAAAGCGTCTGAAAAACACTCATCGGGCGTCTTCCCGGGAGACGCTCTTTCCCGAGCCATCCTGGGCATCTGTCTTTCTCTTCAAAGAATGTTGCTCAGAATGTGTCTAAGGGAACTCGGCTGGGCAGAAAAAGTGGCTGAAAGGTGAGGAGGATGAAGAACTCGCCGTCTCTGTGTCGGTCACGGCCGAGGGCCTGCTGAGGACCCCAGGCCGGGCTGACGGGGGCCCTGCTCAGGTGCCTTCCCGGGGTGGCCCGTGACCACCCCATGTGACACGTGTCCCTTTCTGCAGCCTCACAAAGACCGTCCCAGAGCTTGTTTAGGATCCGATCGGTCTGGGCAGAAGCGCTCCCCTCTGTCTGCGCCTGAGCGAAGCCTTGGCTCCATCGCGGGCTCAGCGCCATTACTTCTGCAGTGATTGCACCTTCCTTCCGTTCCTTCCCCCGACCGCCGGGGGTCCCTGTGTGGATGGATCAGCACAGAGGTGGGGACCCGGGACAGGTGAGGCCGGGGTGAGTGAGTGGTGGCCCAGCACTGACCGAGAGGGCGCCCAGCAGCGAGGCTTCCTGTGTGGAGGCCCCGGGCAGGAGCCCGTCTGCTCTCCCCTTCGGGGACCTCCCGTGGAGCCAGGCCGTCTATCAGGCCTCCCTCTCTGCTCCGATCGCCCTTCCTACTCCCTTTCTGACCCTCCGGGCACCTCTCCACTGTCTCTTCCTTAGACACGACACACACATGCACACGCCCACGCCCACGCACGCACTCACCACGCTTTATTTGTTCTATGACAACAAGGAGGCAATTAAATCTATCAAAAGACATCTGACATCTGTTCAGTGGCTATTAAGGGTCAGAGGCTTTGAGGATGGAAGAGGAGCTCTGCCTCCTGCCTCCAAATGCGGAAACCCTCCCCCGGGGAAGAATTACAGGTATATACACACAATATACACACATACACAATACACACACATACATAATAACACATATACAATATACACGTGTCCATTGCACACACTAAAACCACAGCACTGAAGGCAGCAGCTGTTGGACTGGTCACTAATCCTCAGGCCTGTTCACTGTGCCGTGAGACAGAGGCTCCCCTGCCATTCCCGGGAAGGCCGCCTTTCCTTCTCGCCGCTGTGCTCCTCTCCGGGACCTTCACAATTTCTCTCCAACACTTTTCACATATACGAAGAACAGCGGCCCCTGCGCCCAGCAAGACCCAGCTAATGTTAAAGACTCGCTGGCTTTCCTTCCTGCCGCTGATCACAACGCCTCGCGCATCAACGACCGGCTGTATCAGGAGAAGTTCAGCTCCCCGCCCGGTGCCCCCCCTCCCGGCACCCGGCGGGCGCACGAGGCTCATTCCTGCCCCTCTGCAGGGGCAGAGCCCATGGCCACGCTCCTGTGCAGGGTGGGAGCTCCACACATAACCATCCGGGGCAAAGTACAACAATCCTGCATTGTTTTTAGTGCATCGTTTCCTTGGAGATGAGCACAGCTCAGAGGAAACACAGAGAGAGATAAAAACCGGAGTATGAGCAGCACAGTAAGGCCTCACTGGACGCAGGCAGGCGGGAGACACCTGCTTCCATGCCACCCGCACGTCCACACGGCTGTGCAGATGGTGCAGATGCCGGGAGGAGCCTGTATGACTGACAGGTGCCCGGACTCACGGACAGACACTGGGAGCGACGCTGAGACAGTCCTGCCATCCATGCTGTGCCTTCGCCATGAACTGCTGCTCCTAGAAACCGGTTGTGTTTCAGATGCTGGCTGGCGGCTCTGACCAGCTGCCCGGCCTCTCTACCCACTGCCTCTGGGAACAGGTGTGTTTTCACCACGTCATCGCTTATCAACACGAAGCGTCAGGACGAGCTGTACTTTACTTAAGTAGGATTCTTAAAAATAAATACGATTACTACATAGTTTCTGCCAATTACGCGTCATTCATCACAATAAATATTTAGGAGGAAAAACAAGCTATTTTAGAATGTTATGTATGTCTAATATTTGTGGGTAAAAATGCCTGGTTATAATATCCTCTCCCCTAAACACACTGTCTAGTAATCTCATCCTACTTTCTAAAATCAGAAATTATAACTAATATCTGCGTAAGGGTTACGTTAACCCTGATTTGTACAATAGCTTTTTCCTCAAAACGTGAAATGTCATGAATAGCAGGATGTTAGGCCCGTTGATAGTACTCAGAAGCTTGTTTCAACAGGGTTCACCTGATGAGAGAGAACTGAAAATGGGGAGAATCCCCCCAGGGCCTCCCCCCAGCCTTAGGTCCCCCCTAGCTCCGGGGCCAACACGGGCACAAGCCTGGGAGGAACAGGGAGCAACAGTGTATCTGCTCCTGGCTTGAGGGACAGATTGTAGCAACGTTCTCTCCCAGGACAGGCAGGCGAGGCCTCTGGGATCACATGGGAGGGGGAAGACACAAGACAGTGACCGCAGTCCATGCAAATGACAGATGTGGCAGCTCTAAGACCCTCGGTCCCAGTCACCCCGGAGCACAGCTCCCACGAGGCTCAGAACCTGAGAATCACAGTCTCCTCGCCTCCCCAAACCTCCACACACTCACGGCAGGAAACGGTTACCTGCGCGGCCCCCCAGAGCTGGCCTTCCAACACCCTGCCCCCGGAACTGAAGTGCCACCGGCACTGGGCAGATGCAGGATAATTAGAAATAAAAACAAACCAAGCCGTGAACAGCGACACAGACAATAGACTTATGAACATTACCTTCTTCTTTGACGCCTCGGACTTCTTCGACACGTTCTTCAGCTTTTTGTGCAAGTGGTTAAGGACCTGAAAAACAGGCGAACGAAATCGGTTTGCCTCGCGTCCCATAATTCACTGTCTCCACTGCACCGGCAATTGTTGGCATTCCGAAAAGGCAACACCGCTACTTACAAAATCATTCTGATTCAAAGACACATACGTAAGGACGATGACGGGGAACTGCCCACCGCGCCCGTCTCCAGGTGCAGGGTGTGGTCAGAGCACCTGTGTGCAGGGCGTCCTGTGCCAGGCGCTCTAGGGTTTTGTCCAGAAAGGGCCGCACCACGACCCATGCCTTCCACCGGGATTTCCCCCGAGATTCTGCATTTTAACCATCGCCAGGCCCTATAGTTGTCAGACTCCGTGTTAAACCCAAGCTAAGCACAGAAGCTAGAGGCCGCCTTCAGGTGCAGCCTCCCGGGGGAAGGAGGCGAGAGGCAAATAAAGATGTCATCAGGAGTTCTCACTCGGCCCACATGGGCTTCCACGTGTCCCTGCGGTTTTCCCTGCCCTACAAGTCTCCTTAAAGCGATCACCCATCGGGCCTCCTTGCATTCCTCATTCAAACGGTAACCGCTGTGCTGAGCTGTGAGATAACCTACACTTGGGGACTCCAGCCTCACCCACAGTTCCCAGGCCGTCAGCAGGCCTGACAACTAACGCTCTGCCGGGGGTCTCCTTGAGAGGCATGGGCTCCCCCACAGAGAAATGGTCTTTGTCTTCTCTTGCCAGGTGACAGTCAGGAGAAACAATGTGAAACGTTTGTGCTACATAGTGTCGGAGTTTCCAGCAGGCCCCAGGCTGTTGTATGGATTACCAGACGGGTATATGAGCTCATCCTCACATCCCATCTGCGTGGAAATCTAAGGAAAACTTGCCTCTGGATGACTAAGGGTTTAGATTGTCCATCAGCTGCTGAGTGAGTCTCTCCACGAATCAACCACGTTCCAGCCGCGTCTTCGTTTCCCTCTGGCACTGCGGCATGGAAGCAATTTCATCGGATTGCACACTTGCGAAAGCCCGTGCCCTGCGCTGGATGCACACTTCTGAGTGGTCAGTCACACTTAATGGAGAACCTCGGGACTCATCCACCAACCTTGGGAGCCCTGTGCCGGTGAAGCAGCCGTCACTGGGTGTGAGGTTCTGGCTCCAGAGCCCCAGCTCTGCTAAAACACTTCTCTTTTCCTACAGCGGCTGAGCGTCTATGAGACAAGGCTTCCACCTGCTGGAGTAGCGTTGGGATCACCCTCGGCGCTGGCACTGGGTTAGGCTGCTGCTCCGCCGACGGGAATCGTGGTGACAAAGATTGGATGGAAGCAAAGATCAACCAGGAGCTTTTACGGAAGCAAATGAGAAAGTCTTTCAAAGGGGAAGGTAAGGGCTGGAAGCAGGATGCTGCCTGGAGAGGACAGACCTGGCCAGGGTCCTTGGCGGCAGCCTCCCCGGCAGGAGACCACAGGGGGACACTGGTCCCTGAGGACAAGGGACATGAGGAGAGAGCAAAGGAGAGTCAGCAAAACAAAATCAGGGAGGGACACCTGGAGAGGAGTCAGAACAGAAAAGTGACCTGGCCAGTGTGGCTCAGCGGTTGAGCGTCACGGTTCGATTCCCAGGCGGCAGAGCATTAGGAAGCAGATAACATTTGACTTTTCTGTGTTTTGTGTGTGTGAATGTGTTTCTCTCCCTCTCTTCCTCCCTCTGAGATCAATAAAAACATATTTTTTAAAAAACACATTCACACACACAAAACACAGAAAAGTCAAATGTTATCTGCTTCCTAATGCTGTTCGGGGGTCTAGTCATTCCTCCAGCAGACTGTGGGATCACAGCTCAGTAACTTCAAAGCACCGGACGAGTGTGTCGAGTGGTCAGTGGAGAAAATGCCCGAGTGCCAGCTCTGCCCCGCTTCCGTGCTCCGCGGCCCACCCTACGTGCACATGTGAATGCTACGATGCGTCGCCGGGAAGGTTTGTCACAGAAAGAGAGAATGTAGGTATGAGGATGGGTCATGAATACCTTTCTTCAGAAGGAGCTGGTGATGTCCTGGTGGCCTGTCCCCACTGCTCTGTGCACCTAGAAGTGTGTGTAGGACGCACACACTCACACCTGAGCCGAGGTCATCAGGAGCTTCAGACACACCTGGGGATGTGGGGGAACTTGGCGGGGTGGGCACATCACGAGTAATGGGCATCCTGAACTTAACATTCAGGGAGCAAAACCCTTACCCGGAGAGCTTGCACTTGATGGTTGAACTAAAGAAAAGCAACTTGAAATTACGTATTACCGCCATCTGTTCGAGCCATGAAACAAATTTGCCTAATTACATTGAATTCAAATGATAACTCGAGTTATGCTTAAAAGCAAACTATTTCCATATTAAAAAATATCTCCATGATCTTGTATTTATTGAGTTTTAAAAAACCATCTTCAAGCTTTGCTCTATGATAGAAATGTAGCCTAATTAATTCCTAAAAGTTTACCTTGTCGTTTCCATTAAGTTAATCTAAACACATCTGGGAAATGAAGAGATTGCGCCTCGGTTCTAAACTATGTAATTACGAATTAAGAGAAAAATATGTGAAGAACCCCTCTGGTCCCAAGCGTCATGTCCCCAAGGTCCTCACCAACTGCTCCTCCCTGCGAGGACAGGGAACCCCTGCATGGGAACCTCCCTGAACCATTTGCCAGCTTCCCGATCTGGGTCGGTTGCTTCATTCCTCAAAACCCCTTTCCCTTGTCAATAAAACAGGGATGGCAGCTCAGCGTGGGGATTAAACGACCCAGGGCAGCCGTCAGAGGCTGTGCCCGCAGAGGGGGGCTGTGCTCCCCAGCAGCAGAAGACAGGGTGAGGACGCCAGCCCTTTACCCAAGAGCTGAGCCAGCGCGCTCCTGGGGTCCCCGTTCCTCCCAGGCGGATACTATCCAAATAATATCCAATCCAGATCTTATCCAAACTGTTACCATTCAGAACACACAGCTCTGCCGGGGGGCCTGGGGGAGGGGAAAGCAAGGCCCCGGAGGCTCACGTTAAACATTGCTGCTGGGAAAATACTTTCTGAATGAGGGGGAATTATCCTTGTCCCTCCTCCGGTCATTCATGGCCCTGGAGGCCGAGCCCTACCAGAGCTAGGAGGCGCCCAGGGGGATGGAGAGAAGGCGGCGGCATTTCGGGGTGCCTTTCTGGTGGTGATGGCAACTCCCAAACAGTGTGGTGGGGACACTGGGCTTCACCCCACAGATCCCGATCACACGAGTGTGAGGCATGTGCCCTTCTTTACTCAAACATAAACAAGGTGTGTGAAATGGTTAAGGCTCTTGATCAGTATGAAATTGTCAAAACTGTGTCTTATTGATGAAGGGAAGGTGAGTCTGCTGAGCTTGGGGCGCTGCTTGGAGAGGGAAGAGCAGGGTGGGAGAGCAGGAGCGTCCGGGGCTGGACCATGTCCTCTCCCCAGTGAGGGTCCCACCTGCCACAGGAGTCACATCATTTAACAACCTTCCTGAACAGAACCAAAAGCCCACCCATCCAAAGTCCTCTGGAGACTCCGGCCAGGCCTCTGGGGAAAATCGCTTTACCACTGGGTTTATAAAGCTGAGCGTGTGTGTGAAATGAAATGTGAAGCTGTCACCTGGGGCAGTGGCTTCAGGGNCCTCTGGAGACTCCGGCCAGGACTCTGGGGAAAATCGCTTTACCACTGGGTTTATAAAGCTGAGTGTCTGTGTGAAATGAAATGTGAAGCTGTCACCTGGGGCAGTGGCTTCAGGGGGGCCAGGTCCCCTCCGAGCCTCCCCTAGGCCCCCTGGGAAAGGGCCTCACCGGAGTCACCTCCTCAAGTCCCAACTGAGCGCTGGGCAGGGGGCAAGGGGACCCGCCACCCTGGCAACAGGCGGGGAGCCGAGTGACCAGCGCTCCCTGGGACTCTGCGGTCGCGCCCCGCAGGCATCCGGGTGGAGCTGCTGAGGCTGGGCGGGTTCCCTCTACCCGAAGCCGGGACTGAGCCCCGCCTGCCCCCTAGACAACCTGGGGTTGGGGAGGCGGGGACCCGAGGGTAGGCGGGACTCTGGGAAGTGAACCGCAAACTTCCCCGGCGCCCCCCAAACTCCAGGTAACTTTCTCCACAACATCAAACCGCCAGACGCGGCGCGGAGACAGGGACCTGGGCACACCCGCGG